AGTGTATTTATATGTATACACATACATGCATGATAGTATATTGTTTGGATCTGGTTCGGAAACACTCAATCTATCTAAGGCCATATACTTCATACAATTCAGTTGTTGGTTTAATTGAAGTTTACTTTTAAATTTTTAAAATTTCTTCCAATATAATAATAATAATAATAATAATAAGTTATAAATAATAATAATTAAAAATAATAATAACATTATTGATGTTTTTATTTTATGAATAATTTGTAAAAAGGCGATTTTTGTTTTGTCAAAATTTTTGCAGCTCTAGCTCACAGAATTTTATCCAGAACATCAGAAAGAACAAAAACCGCGATGGCGACATCAAAGTTAGTGACGTCATCAACAATGACTTCATCGTCAACAACAACATCGTCAACAACAACCAAAACAAAAACAACAACACTTCTAAATTCTTATTAAATAGTCCAACAACTGCAACAAACACATCACCCATCGCAACCAGCAACAACAATAAACCTATTAGTTCGGCTAGTATTTTAACAGCAGCAACTTCTACTACTTTTATTACTGCTGCTAGCACCACTACTACTACCGCCACTACTGCTACTGCTGCTGCTGCTACTACTACTACTACTTCAACTACTGCTGCTACTACTACTACTACTTCAACTACTGCTGCTACTACTACTACTTCATCATCATCATCATTAAGAACTGCTAGAACGTTCGACGCTTTCTTCAAAGATATCATAGAGAACTTATTCTTTTCGGACTTTCACGACCAGCAACAAAGTCGCTTCAGTAGACTGTCTCGCAACAAAAACATCAACAACATCATTAACAACAATAACATCAACAACAACAACAACAACGACGACGACTTCAGCAACATCAACATAAGGAACAACAGCAACAACAACAGCAATGACGACAGCAACGACAACATCAATGAGAGCAACAATCTGAATTTTAAATCTCGCTCTACAACGCCCGTCAACGGTAAAGTTTGATCATAAAATTGTAGTAATAATACTGATAATGATAATATTTGTATTATTTTATTATTATTATTATTTGTATTATTATTATTATTATTATTATTATTATCATAATTATTATTACGATTTTTATTATCGTAATTATTTCGATTATGATTATTATTATTATTATTATTGATCATTCGTTTTAGATAACCACAGCTTGCAATTTGAGATGAAGAGACAGTCTTTCAATATTAAGGTAATAATAATAATAATTATTATAATAATAAATATAATAATA